TACTTTGTTTCATTTTTATTTTTCTTCCGAAATTCCACAAAATGCCTCTTCTTTTTCTGATTTTATCAAAAACTTGATCCTTCATTTCTTTTCTCTCTTGATCATCCTCATTTTACCTCCACTGAGCTGTAGTTTAAGCTGACACAAAAACAAAATGGTAAAATATAGCCATGTTTTATGAATAAAATTGGCTCTAAATGTATTATTGTTCCCCTAATTACATTTAATAGGACTTCAAGAATAACTTAAACGCTATTTCATATAGGTAGTTAGTTTCATTCTTATTTCCGAAGCAATTATCTTAATATATACATACAAAAAAAAATCTTTCGGGCTGAAGCCTCCCTCAAAATTAAATCCTGGATTCGTTAGTGACATATACTACAGGTAACAAACAGTATGTATAGAATGTATAGAAAGTGAGTCAGTCTAGACTACAACTCAGTGGAGATAAATTGAGGATGATCAGGGGTGTTCAGAAAGGGATTTCATGGCGCAACTTACAGCATACAATTTTTTTTTTTTTGGGGGGGAGGGGCATATAACTTCTTAAGAAAATATTTTAGCTTAAGAAAATATTTTTAGTAATAATGTTTTTGATATGACTAATGTTTTTTTTTTTTGTTTTTTTTTTTAAGAAAAAGAATTTTTGAAAATGGCTCAAGAATCTCCAAGGAGCCGAAACGTTAAAAAATAATAATTTTTAAATATTGTAAACTTGTTTTAAAATTGTAAAAGAAAACTGTGAGATTACAAATGTTTTTTATTTAAAAAAATCATATATAGATTAAATATATTAATAATATTGTAATAATCGTTGGTTGTAATAATCGTTGATTGAAATATTCATATCATATACCGATGGTTTCAACAATAATTTTTCGCTTTCCATCTGGTCTCTTACCAACTTTTGTTGCACTCATTGTTGTATACGGGTTTCCTGGTTGATTGCTTGTTATTATATTTGGAATATTATAATCATGAAATTGAATATTACATACAGAGAAATGTTTAATTATAACAAAAAGAAAATTATTATTTTTATCCCAAATGAGGGCGTGTGTTGTTTAACAGCAGGACATTCCTGTGTTTTGCCAACGAAGATTCTTTTTAAAAAAATAGTGAAGCATAACATTACATAATTAAAAAATAAATATATATTTTATTGAGAATTTCAACTATGACAGAGATAAAAGTAAATGTATCACTATTATCACATTATGATGTCTTATAAAGTTAGCAGTGCTTATGTCTTTTGAAGGTAGCAGTGCAATGAATATTTTACTTTAAGAGATTTAGGGTGTATCTCTTCTTTTAATATGGTTTGAAGAGTTATCGGTAATATATTAGAAAAACTTGTTATATAATTATCATTTTTTTGTAAGTATGAAGTTTATAGTTGAGCAAGATATATTTATTTCGAACCAAACCTGTTACGGATCAATTTATTTTTTTATATTTACTTTTTTTTTCAATTTTTTTAAATAGCAATTTTATGTTTTATGAAGTTCAAGGTAACAAGACACCAACGAAATTCTTCTTTATTCGTTAAAATTAGTGTTGCCCACAATCGGTCTTGTTCTTGCACTTTGCGAAACAAAGACCAAGGCCGCCTAACTGTTGCAAGACCAAGACCAGGACTGGTAAAAAAATCGATTTTTTAAATAAAAATTAAGGCAAAATAGTTACTAATACTTGGCAATCTTAGTTACTATATGTTAATAATTGGTATAACCAATATACTTTTGCATTTAACTCCTCTAATTTTTCATTCGGGCTTACTTAGGTTTCTCCTATCTAAAAAATTACAGTAATATCTCTATAGTAATAAGCTAATAGGTAACTGCAAGACTGTTGCGAGACTCTTGCGCAAGATGAAGAACATGACCAAGACTGAGTTTGCAAGACCAAGACTCGTTTCGGTCTCGCATTTGGGCAACACTAGTTAAAATCATTGCATGTATAATAGATTCTGTGACGAAAGGAATATTAAGGACTTTGAATTCAGTCGAAATTTCAAAATATTACTCATAATCTTTTTGTGATAAATAATAAGTTCGGAGCGTTTGTGAGGTAAATGTTCTAGTGATCATAATCCATTGGCAGTTTCTTTGTCGTTTTCATGTATAAGGATCCTGTAGGCGGTCCGTGCTTTTATCTTTCAGGAGTCCCGAACAGCATCTGATTTCAGTTTTGGGGGCCATGTCATTCTTAAAATAAGGAAAAAGCTGAGGACACCAACTTTTGTATTAGTTGTCTAAAAATTTATATTTAAAAAGAACTTTTATTAACGTTTTTATTTATATCAAGTTAAGTTGGAGGGCAACAAGTTCCTCCTCCTTAGCAGGGTTTCCAGTCCACCCATAGTCGATGGTGCATGCCCGTCCCAAGATAGAATAATTTGAAAAGTCGTATACCATATACAGTTCAAAATCTGCGGTCTGTTCCATCTTTTCCCTTGCTCCCTGGTTTGCAATTTTTCATTTCAAAAATTCACAACACCGGACACTGGGGCGAAACACCAAATTATTGGACATTGTAGTTTTATGGCCAGTCTGTTGGCCGTACTATATATCTTTTTTATGAGAAGGAGTTGATCGGGGGGTGCGGTCAAATTAATACTAAATTAAATAAGTAGAATTATTTAATTTAGTATTAACTTGACCGCACCACCCGATCAACTCCTTCTCATATTATATCATGGACGAAAACATGGATTTTGCATCTCAGTCATATCCTATACAAGAAAATCAAAAGAAACCTACTGTAATATATACATTGCCCTGATAAGGGAGCCATACTTCAGTCTCTAGCCGAGGGTGCCAAACGGAGTCAGAATGGGCCTGTTCTGTCGTTATTGGTATAGTACTAAAAGAAAATTTCATAAAGTATTCATTACTCGTGTTATTCCATTAAAGTTATTTAAGGTTTATAGCTTGAGTTTCAGAAGTAATGTTTTAAAATCAAGTATCTAAATTTTGACTGCTCATTATACCATTTTACGTTTTCTGAATAAACAAATAAATAAATATATATATATATATATATATATATATATATATATATATATATATATATATATATATATAATACCAATTCGATTTTAAAGATTTTGTTTCTTTCTGCCTTAGGTTATGGAAGTGGCCTGGAAGTGGGAGAACCCCTTTGGGTACCTCCAGGAGTGCTTTGGGCAGCTAAGGGTGGACCACCACTTCAAGCATTGCTGACCCACTACATGCTGGGTGGAGTGCCAGCTCTACCACCTTTCCTCGCCAGATTATCACCCTCTCCACCAGCACCTGCGTCCCCAAGGGCACCAGAGCCTAGCCATGAACCTTTTTTTCCTGAACCAAAGGACTAAACGTTCCCTCTATGTATCATTTTATTAATATTTTCTCCAATAAGCTGAACTATCAAAGTCAGCTTAACTTGTTTATATTGTAGATTTAGAAAAAAATTGCTGACGTAGATTAAATCAATTGCAAGTTTGTTAATACATTATTTTGTAATATAGTTTGTGAGAAATATAATATTTTTATTTGTAATTTTGGGAACTATTTAGAATACCTGCTTCTGATACACTGCGCATCACAAAAACGGTTATTTGCTGTTTGATATATTATATATTGATATATCATACAAAACTCTATAAACTGAGTAAATAAAATTGTTATTTGGCCGACCTCTACTGACAATTACTCTGATTAGTGGTTCTCGATCTCTTGGGCATGCAGAGGGAGTGGTAGCTAGCAGCTATCAAAAGCTTTACAAATGCCAAAAGATATAACCTATTTGTACTTATATATATTAAGCAGATCATAGTTGACGATGTCTGCTCACTGTAGTCACCTAAAAGATAAGTAATTCCCAGATGAGTTTAAATAATAAATAAAAGTCGAAGAACTAAATAACAAATGAGTTTATTTTATTATTTTTTTCATTAACACAATCCTTCTAAAAGAATCTTTCAGAAACAGATTTAATTGTAAAAAAAGATAATGCATATATTAGCTTCTTGTAAAGCTTGTAAGGAATTGAATAACATATGTAGAAACAAGAAACTCGTTCTCATAAAAAGAGGATCATTTTAATTTTTTGTGGTTTGCAGGCAGGTATTCTAAATAATTGCAATTTTTGTATCTTTTTAGTATCACTTTAATCAATCCATAAAAATCATTAAAGTGAGACAATGAAATGTACACATTTGGAAACTATTAAATTATACATGTAACTCTACCAATTATATTAAACAAAGATTAGTTGGAGAATTGCCTTTCCATGTATCAATAGAAAATTACCTAAATTATTATTTTTATTAAATTATTATATTAATGAATTTTTTTGTATTTATATCTATTTATAAAACTATAATGCTACTTATATTTCAGTTGTAAGATTGTGATCCCTTAATATTAATTTATTTTGTAAAGCAATAAATATATGGTATTGTAAATTAATGATTTCTTTTTTCAGTTTATTGAATAAATATTTTTTCAAACATTTGTTTTTGTTCTTTGTAAATAAAGATGATTAGTTTGTTTTAGTCAGATTACTTTGGCTTAGAATTTAGAATATATAAAAGTATAAATAATAGTAAGCTTTTAGATATTGTGTAATGAAAGTAAAATATTTATATATGATATTCATAACAAAAAAATAAAATAAAAAAATAAAATCATAATGTACCATTACAATAATAAATAAGTTTATAAAATTTATTGTAGCAAAGGTATTCTGAATCTTCATAAGATGAAAATCAATGATGTATTATAAATTTCAAAGTATCTATTCAATGGAATTTTATATTTGAATAAATAGTAAAATGTTTCAATAAGATGATAGATTTGTTTGTTTGTTTATTATTTAATTAATATATATTTTTGGGGAAAATTGGTAGAATGGATATACCCCTAAACATAAATATTCAGATTTCTTTTTTTAGTTAAAACAAGTTATTTTTACTTAGATTTTCATTATTATAAGGCATTATTATACAATTTCTCAAAAGTAAAAACTATAAAATTTCTTAAAGATGTTATTACTAGTCAGACTCATTTAATTTTTAGTAAATTCAAGGCATATTGAATTAAATCTTAAATATAAGATTACATTTTTTTCACAAGTTGATTATTTGAATTTTATTAATATTAAGTGTGTTAGTTCTTATATGATTATTTATTTATTATTTATTTTATTTTATAACATTATTTGTTGTTGAAATATACTGACATTGTTTTGTCTCGGTAATCATCATATTCTCATTTAAAGTGACTGTTTTTATTTGTATATTATTATTATTTGTGTATCTAGTAGTTTCTATAACATGTAACAAAATTGTTCAACTCATTAATAAATGAATATTTTAAAATAATTGAATGTAAAAATTGTGAATTGTAATTGATAAAAATTGTTTAGAATTACATCAACTGTTTATTTTAATGTAAAGAAAATTTATTTTGAGATTTTACATTTCTAAAATACCAATACATTTAATATAATTAAAACAATTCTTGGTATTGGCATATAGATTTATTAAATAGTAAGAAAACTTACATTAGGTTAAAATACTGTGATTAGTCTGTAAAATATTAAATATTGTAAATGTAAATTAAATATAAAGTAATGTTTTTTGTTTAACTTTATTGTTTACGTTAAACTTTATAAATATCCTGTTCCTTAAACATTTTCTTAGTCGATAATCCAAATAGATATATTAAAAAATCAAAAATTATCAAGAAACTAGATCCCTCTCCCTTCTATACACCAGTGGTGAAGCAGTTTATTGAATTTGTTCCCATCTCAATATCCTCTTGTGTTATATCATGGTCATTTCAGCATAAGAAATTAATCTAGTATTTATGTAAACGTTGTATGATAAATGATTTTTATCTGTTCAAGAACAACATGCATGCACTAGAAGATTTCACCCATCAAATTACACCCAATAAAAGTCATTAGAATTCTAAAAATATTATTTTAGTTAACAAAAGTAATTAATAATATTTAATAAAAATAAAAAAAACTGTACCCCTACAATCCTTGAAGGGTTTTGGGTGCAGCACTATGTGAGAAAGTACTGTTACAAGGCCAACAGTGGTGCAGGGAGATGATCAGCCAGATATCATGCTCAACTGCCAGGTTTTCTTCCTAAATTAAATTTTTTTTATTAAGAGTACCCACTTTATAGAGACTGGGTGACCCCAGGAGGGTCATCAGCCGGATCCGAACCTGGGACCTTGAGGTTTGGAAGTCAGTGCTCACCCACTGAGCTACCCAGCTCCCAATAATATTTTAAACATATAATAAAATTCTAAACTATGGTAAAGTGTTTTTCGAGAGAAAACACAAATTATAACTGCACTTTGGCTCAACGAAAGCCTAGATGTATTCCTTAATGTAAATAAATTTAATAGGAAAACTAAGTTATTAGTGAGATATATGTAAAAAAAAATTAATAAAGCAATTGAACTTTCTTGATTGAGAAGGGAACTCATAAATCTTTAAAAATATTATGTTATAAATGTATTTATGAAATGCATAAATCTGATAAATTAAAAAAGTAGAAATGCTGACATTTTCAGCATTAATTTCTTCGTTTATAGCAATTTCATTTAATGTTATATTTTCTTATATTATGGCAAGAGTTCCCAAAATGTAGTATGATAATGTTCCAGATGGTACACAGAAAAGCAAAAACAAACTAATGGACAGAAATATATTTCTGACACATTAAATGTGGGGTAACAATTTTTTTTTTTAAATTATTATTGGAGATATCAATTATAAAATAAATAAGTACCATCTAGCATTAATTTTAACAATCTATGATGGCTACAGAAGTATAAATACAATAATCCAGTGTTGAATATAGAAATGTTGAAAATCAAGCTAAACTGTGTCAAGCTTTATCACTGTTACTATGATTGAGCAAATTAAAAAATATTCATCCTGTTCTTCACAATTTCCAAATTCCTTACTCTTATAAGATAATGTTTTATTTGAAGAGTTCCTGGTTTATCTTCAGTTTGCATATAATTGCATTTGTTTTGTGAAACTTATAATCTTGTTATTTTGAATTTTTGAGCTTTATTTTCAATTTATTATCTTCTTAAGCAAATTCACTGTATTTTCTTGTTTGTTAATAGTCAGTGGTACAGACCCCTTTTTATCTAGTTATTAACATCCGCCTGAAACTAAGTAAATAGTTTCATCTCATCGTAACCTACAAATATTTCATTTACGAAAACTCTTGGAATCCGTTTTCAATCTGGAGGGAGGCAAAATTTGCCTATTTAATTGGGTATTAAAAACTCTTAAATACTCATTTGCTTTCTACTTGGATGGTAAGATAATTTTATCACAAAATCCTGAAGAAGGGTGTTCCACAAAATTATTTTGCTGTTTGTCCTATATAACTTCGTTATTTTGAAAATTTGGGGGTGTAGGTCACGCCAAACGGCTCAATAATTTTGAAGGCCACCTTTTTTCTCGATTTTGTGATCAAATTATCTTACGATCGAAGTAGAAAGCAAATGAGTATTTAAGAGTTTTTAATACCTAATTAAATAGACAAAGTTTGCCCCCCTCCAGATTGAAAATGCACCAATTCCAAGAGTTTTCGTAAATGAAATAATTGTAGGTTACGATGAGATGAAACTAGGCCTATGTTAATAATTCGATAAAAAGGGGTCTGTACCACGGACTATAAATAATCGTTTGTAAATAAGACTGAATTAATTTATGAAGACGAATATAAATACTATTGTCTGAATATATGGTATAGCTGTGGTGGTAAGCCCAGTTATCCGAGAAATGGAAGGTGTATATAGTGAAATGCAGTGTTAATGACATAATTGATATCATACTGGAGTTTCTAAATATGTAATATCAATAATTAGAAAAAAAGAACAAATAGATTCATTTACTGGATTTATTTCGCCCTAATAAAGTTAACCAGTATCAGCACCCGTAAGGTTAGCTAAGGCTTTAAAGACTAATTTACAAGATGGTACACTTCACGGGCGGATCTACGGGGGGGCTTTCGGGCTGAAGCCCCCCCCCCCCAAATGGTAAAATATAACCATGTTTATCGAAAAAAATATTAAAAAAGTATCTCTTAAAGTATTATTGTCGTGTGTTTAATATTAAAAGGGATTTAGGAATCACTTAAACACCATTTCATACAGGTAGTTAGTTTCTTTTTTTTTTCAAAGTAATTATCGTTATTTTTATGAAAAAAAAGCTTTCGGGCTGAAGCCCCCCCCCCCAAAATTAAATCCTGGATCCGCTAGTGGTACACTTGATGTTTCTAATGGGTTAAAATTCTGTAAGTTAAGAAATAAACCTGTCCACTGTACATAC